CTGGAGGCTTGGCAGATGGCTCAGTTGCTAAAGTACTTGCCAATCAAACATGAGGACCTGAGCTAGCCTGGGCTCCATAGTAAGACCCTATCTAAAAAACGAATGGATGAAGTAATTCAAAATGCTTCTAGGGCTAGTGAGATGGCTCAGCAAGTGGAGATGCTTTCCATCAACCCTGATGACCTGAGTTAAATCCAAGGGACCTATGTGGTAGGAGGAAGTCAACTTGCACAAGTTGTCCTCTGTCCTCCACCGTGTGCTGTGGCATGTGCAAGCCCACATATACATACACACTAAGGACAACATTTTTCTTCTTTAATTTGAATTATCAGCTAGGGAAAAACAACTAGGCCCAAGATTCTGAATTTTTTTTAGCTGGTAGCAGAGCTTAAACAATGCACTCAGTGGTAGATATGATTAACATGGATTCTTATAACTTCTATAAGATTAGGTGATGAATTGAATTTTATGGGTTTTTAATTTTAAATTATTTTTATTTATGTGTATGTGTGTATCTGTGTGAGTGAATGCCACATGTGTGTGGGTGACCAAGAGAGTGTTGGATTCCCTGGAGCTGGAGTTAGAGGTGGTTATGAACCACCTGATATAGGTGCTGGAAACCAAACTCCTGTCCTCTAGACGTGCAGCAAGTGCTTTTAATCTCTGAGCCATCTCTCCAGCCTCATGCTTTGGGTTTGTTTTTTTTCCCAGCCTGTCCTCTAAGACAGCAATCTCTTTCTGTAGTTCTCTGATAACTTAGATTGGCCTTTTTGGGTTCACAGTGGAAGCAGAGGTTTGGCCAGTGTCCACAGAACCATGGGTCTGGGTAACTCAACACGGCACTCACTACTTCTCTAATCCTCACAGTGCTCTTGCAGGTTGGGTACATTATTAACCCCACTCTACAGCTGAGGAAACAGAACCCAGAGTAACTTGTTTAGGCTCCCCCAGTTCGTAGGTAGATCCAAGCGTGGATCTTTCTGCATGGAACTCCAAGTCCTTTCCCATAAACAGGGGCATGGAGCTCAATGTGGGTTTCCACAACTGTTTTACCAGCCTCCTCCTTCATATAGGACTCACTTGGAATCTTCCTATCTCTGCTTTGGATCTTGTTGCTGAGGAGTTCACCACCTGCAAGGAGGTCCCAGAAAGATTGTATTATTTATAACCCCAATTACCTCCCCAGTACTGTGGGAGCAGTAGCAAGGACAGCTCTGGGGTCTTCATGATGGAGTGGAAGTATCTTTTTTAAATTTAAATTTATTTTTTAATATTTTATTTATTATTTTTATTTTATGTGTATGAGTACATTACCTCATGTATGTAAGTGCATCTGTGTTGTGCAATGCCCAAGGACATCAGAAAAGGGTGTCAGATTCCCTTGGAACTGGAGTTGTGAATGGTTGTTAGCCACCATGTGGGTGCTGGGAATTGAACCTGGGTCCTCTGGAAGAACAGCCAGTGCTCTTAACTGCTGACCATCTCTCCAGACCCACACAACCCTTTTTTGAACAGGGTCTCCTGTAGCCCAGATTGGTCTCAAATTCACTGTGTAAACAATAATGACCTTGATCTGATACTCTCACCTCCACCTCCCAAGTGCTGGGATTACAGGTGTGGGCCACTACACACAGCTTATTGAATGTTTCCCAATGGCTAGTCCTTGCACAGAATTTTTCTCATGTACTTTTCAGAGGAACCCTGAAGGTTCATATTTTTTAGTGTGTGTGTGTGTGTGTGTGTGTGTGTGTGTGTGTGTGTGTATGTGCAGGTGCCCATAGAGGGCATCAAATTCCCCTGGAGTTGGAGTTATGGGCAGTTGTAAGCCACCCAGCGTGGGTTCTGGGAACTGTGAACTCAGATCCTGTGGAAGAATAGTAGGTGTTCTTAACCACTGAAACATCTCTGCAGCCCCAAGATTCGTATTTTTAGTTCCATTTCATTGATAAAGAAACTGACCAGAGAGATCCATTCACTTGCCCCGGTCAACATAAAGCAATATAGTATTGCAATTGACTTTCTGGTTGTTTCCTTTGGGTCTTGTACTCAAGAACATGAAAATACCCACAGGAGAAAAGCATCCTTGTTTCCCTCAGCCCTGTGTTGGGCATGTAGTCAGCACTCGATAAACCCATGTATGAAGTATGCCACTCTGAGGGGCCTTTGGTGGCATGAGAATCTGGAGACACAGGCAGGGACTTCCTTGTTTACCTTACCACATAGCTCAGGGCCTGCCAGTTGGCTATCTCTAACACTGGTTGAATGAGTGAACCAATGAACAAATGAATGATTTTGAACACTAGAGGGGAAAAAGTGTTGGAGATGCTGCCTTGGAGTCAGAGGTGAATGTGAAATGACCCCAGCTCTAAGGGTGGGGGCTGGGGCTTAAGCACTTTCTGATATTGAGGTGGGATGAGAAAGTGGGCCCATTTGGCTGGGGAATGTTTGGTTTCTCACCTGGATTAAGATGGTCTCATCAAAGAACTTTGCGGGAACCTCATAGAAATTCTGGAAGAAGATCTGAGGCAAAGAGAGTTGGGGGTAGGGTAGACAATGTTTCTTCTACCACCTCATCCATGGACCTAGTAAACCTGAACCCTCAAAATAAGATGCTTCTCCCCACCCTGCCCCCCATGTGCCCATTTCAGTAACTTTCTGCGTATTAATACTTCACACTCTTCTATAACCAGAGGATTCCTAGGCTTCCTCATGGTACTCTGCCCAAGCAAAGGTCAGGAGTAGGAGTTCCCTGGAGAACCTAGAAGCTCAAGGCCTAGCTAGCTACCCCAGGATGACTATTTGGGCCTTGACTATGTTCAGATCGTCCTGCCAGTCCCCTCTACCCCATCTCCCTACTATAGCCAGGATCACCTTCCTCCTGTCACCCTCTGGCTTAAGTTCTCCATGGTTCCTAAGTATTGTCTGTGATGGGACCCTAATCTGCACTGTAGACTCCCAGCCATGCCCTCATCTACAGTTCTGCCAACAAATTAAATTGCTTCTTGTTTCCAGGTCTTTGAAGACATTATTCCTTTGTTCTTGAATCATCTTTCTCCATCCTGTCCATCATTCTCTGGGAGACTTTCTTCATGGTGTTTTGGAGTCTTTTCTGAGTTTGTTCCACTGTTCCAGCCTAGTCCTCACAGCTTCCATCTTTACTTCACTTGTCAAGTCACCAACTAATTTAATAAGTATTTATCCAGCACCTTTTATGTACCAGACATAATGCCGCAACTGAGACACCAACAGTGACAAGATGTGTGTGGTCTAAGCCTGCATTTCATGGCCCTGATAACTGTGCTCCCCAGACCTCTGTCTGCTCTGTTGTGATTGTTTGTGGGTTTACATGCTGTACCACCATGAGAACACTAGCCCCTTAAAAGCAGGGCTCTGAATTTTCCCATCCTATATGCCTAGCATTGAACATAGTACTCAGTGCTCAGTAGGTGCTCAATAAATGCTTGTGGAACCAACACTTACAGGCACCCTACTTGGGAAGCAAGCTTGCCAGCTGCTTCCAGAAAATGCCCAGTCCCTGGCTGGACCACCTGCCTAATGTACCCTGTTAAGCCCACCTCATTGAAGAAAGGGTTGTTTCCCATCTTGATCCGTGTGAGGTGCTGCTTGCCTGCAATGGTTATCTTCACTACTGGCTTGATATTATTGCCCAGAAGCTGTCGGGCTTCAAATATTTGCAGCCGAACCTACAGAGAGGACACACCAGATGATGGGAGCCTGGGCTTTCCTTCACCAGGGACTACCCTGAAAACCAAAATTGTTTTGAGAAAGAACACTCTAGGTACTATGGATAGACAGAGCCCATGGGGAGAAGGCTGGGAGGAGCCACATGTGGTATTGCATGCCTTGTAATCCCAGAATTTGGGAGGCAGAGGAAGTTAGAATTCCGTGAGATCCAGACCAGCCTGAGACCCTGTCTCAAAAAGACCCCCCCCAAAAAAGGCAGGCTTAGGTTACGGGTTATCAAGGGCTAGGGCAGCCCACTGTGGCTATTTTTTTTTTTTTTTTTGAAACAGCATCTCCCTACATAGCCCAGATTGGTTTCAAACTCTTGATCCAACTGCCTCAGCCCCTAATACCTGGGATTTGAGGTGTGCACTGACTCTGGGACTTTTTATGCAGATATCTTTGAAGTACTTTTTTTTTTTTTTTTTTTTTTTGGTCTTTTTGAGACAGAGTCTTCCTGTAACCCCAGCTGGCCTGGAACTCTCTATGTAGACCAGGCTTGCCTTGAATTCACTGAGATCCACCTGCCTCTGCCTCCTGAGGGCTGGGATTAAAGAGGTGTGCCACCACGCCCAGCTTGAAAGATGTTTGACTAAAGAATGGATAGGAGACAGTTGTTCACTAGGGGTTCAGAAGGAGACTGTCTCTCCATGTGGTCCAAGGAAGTGACAGTGGAGGCTCAAGGCACAGAATGGAAGTGGTGATTGAGAAGTGGGGACAGCCACGCAACAGGACTTGGCCATTGACTGGATGCAGGAAGAGAAACGATCAAGGCCGAATCCCACCTCCTCGGCAAGTGGTGGGCCACAGAATAGGCAAAACCATGGCAGAAATGTTAGGACATGTGATAGGGAGCAGAGGAAAGTTGGCGAGGCATGGGATGGGCTTCATGAATTTTTCCTGAAGTCGTGGACCTTCCCACGGTCCCCTCATACAGTCCTACACCTCTCCTGTATAGTTACTCTGACCTTGCCCATATCTTGCCTTGTTTTGCCAACAACCCAAAGGTTCTGGAAGGGCAAAGCCTGCTCCTTCTGCTCTCTATCCCCAGCATTTATCTACCAGAGCATGCTGGGGCTCAGCAAAGCTCTTCTATCCTCCCTGGATCGGTCTAGCACCAATCATGGATAGAAGTCCCCTGGAGGAGCAAGAGATGCAGTGAGGATCTGAAGCTGGATATGAAGCTCCAACCTTCCACCATGACCTTGTGGAGGGTACAGGAAGGGGATGGAGGTGTCAGACGGGTCTCACCTGAAAGTGCTGAGGCTTGGAAGACAGAGTCTTGTCCATGATGACACCAGGGACCATCAGTTTCTGCTGGGCCATCTCTCTTGTAGTTATGCCCAGAAGGTCTTCATTATCTATAGACACAGTCCAGTGGGGGATAGGGAGCTCAGGAGGCTTTCAGGCATTTCCCCCTTTCCATCATTCTGTCCTCAGTGCTATATACTCCTGACTAAAAACTTGATCCTGATAGGGGCACATGTTTTCCCCTAAATGCTCATTGGGCCCCTCTCACCATTAATAGCTAAGGATTCTTGGACCCTACTCTTCACACATGGGGGATTATGGAAATGGCCATCCTTATGACCTCCCCCCATTAAGATGAGCCTTATGTTTGGAGATGAGAAATGGAGATGAGAAGATGGGTTGCTTTAGCCAGATGTCTAGGCCCACATAGCTTCTAGAGATCCTAATAGGATCACAATCCTTTGGTGGGCCTCAAGAGTTGTGTCTCAGGTCCCAAAGGTCCCAAAGAGCCTATTTGGCTATGCTTAGTGAAGCCCTGGAGAAGGACATACCTGTCTTCTCAATATCCTGGTGGTGTATTTGGGCCACCTGTAGGGTGACAGTACACTGCAAAGCAAAGGCACAGGGTTTGTTTTTAATTTTTAATTGAATTCTTGTGTATTTCATACAGAACATCTTAATCATCTTTATACCCCTTTCCCCATTGGCTCCCTTCCATAGTCCTCCCTGACTGGAATTCATACATTCTGTCATTTGTGTTAAGGCCTGTCATGTCAAATTAGTGGCCCCAGATGTTCCTCAGTGCAAGTTTATCCACCGAGGTCTAGTCAGTCTATCTAGAGTCCCTCCCTTTAAGAAAATCAGTTCTTCTTCACCCAGCAGTAATCAGCTTCCAATCTTTTTGACTAAGATTGGGACCTGATGTCCACTTCCACAGTTCTGTGCTGGGTTTTTGTCTGCTTGAGTTAGCATGGGTTTTGGGCATTCTGACACCATTGTGGTAGGTTCATATGAGAAGAGTCTCTATGAGAGAGTTCATATGAGAGTTCATATGAGAAGAGTTCATATGAGAAGGTGTAGGATCATGCACCTCTTCCCTGGCTCTTACAGCCTTCACAGCTCATCTTCTGCAATGGTCCCTGAGCCCTTGGTGGGTAGATTTTAATATAGAAGTCCTATCCAAGGACCTACACTCTGTAACTCTTATTCTCTATGTTTTGGCCATTTGTGACCTTTTGTGTTCCTGTCCTTCTGTTGCATGAGGGAGCTTCATTGATGAGAGTTCAAAGATGCATTAGTGTTCTCTTCATCCCTTGTTAGATGTTCCATGAGCCTTAGGTGTAGCCTTAGATGTGCCACTTAGGCTTAGGAAATTCACAGATAATCTCTGTGTGTGACCAGCTGTAGAACTCTGTAATAATCTCTGTCTGTTGAAAAAGAAGCTTCTTTGATGGCTTGTGACTGGAATAGTTGTCTAAGTTTAAGGATCCATATTTTACATATAGTAAGAAATTACATTTATCTAGGGATGTGACAGCCTTGGGCTTTTCTCTAACATCTATGACCTCTCCATCTATGTGTATTTAGCTAGGTTTACAGTACCACACATGAGTTTCCTCCCATTGAGTGGGCTTTAAGTCCAATTAGATAACTGGTAATTAGCCCCAAGAAGGGCAGAGAGGCTGTAAGCCAGACTTTGCAATCCTTAGTTAAGTTATAGCACCACCTTTCCTAGTCCTGTTGGAAAGCATGATGCAAGTTATGGTTCAGGGCTATGCAATAGGCCCCTGTGCTGTGTGTGTGTGTGTGTGTGTGTGTGTGTGTGTGTGTGCGTGCAAATATGTGGAGGTCAGAGGACAGCTAGTGAGAGTTGGTTCTCTCCTTTTACCATGTGGGTCCCAGGGATCAAACCCAGGTCTCCAGGTTTAGCAGCAGACACTTTTACCCACTGAGCCATCTCACTGGTCCCAGATAACCTGGTTTGTGTCTGCACTTCCAACAAAGGACAAACCAGAGAGAGTCAAATATGCATTTCCAACCAATCAGGTGGGTTTCTAGCCTGCCTTTGGCTTCCGCAATGCAGCAGCCTCCAATCAGAGCACATTGAAGCCTTCCTTTTTCCTTGCAAAAATTTCCAACATTTCTGCCTACCAACATTCAGTTTTATAGTCTAGTGACTAGCACAGTGGCTGACTCCAGGGGAGATGGAAGGGTGGGTGGGAGATGGAAGGCAGGATGAGGGAGCCAGGAGATGACAGCAGTTTGATCTCCTACCCCCATGGGGTGGATCATGACCACTCTTGGAGAAGGTCAGCTATACTAGTAGTCCATGTTCCTCCAGTGGCCCTGCCTGGGCCTTCTGGCGCCTGACTCACCTCAGTGGGCATCATGGAATGGTTGAGCAGGTTCAGGTTGTTCACAAAAAGGACCTCATTTGGGTTTTGCACCAGTGGCTTGAGCAGTATAGTGACAAGGCCAATGAACCTGGGGGAGACAAGGAGGAGATGTGAGATCCAAGCAGGGCAGAGGGCTCCTCCTGTGTCCCATGCTCCAGGTAGGGATGACTGTCTCCAGTACCCCAAAACCCAGGTAGGCAGAGTAGCCACCAGAGGGCGCAGGGCTCTCTGTTCCTTGGGAAATTGCTTGGGATGAAACCCAAGACAAGTAGCCCATTGGACCAAGGGTGGGCACCTGACCAAAGTTGGGGACAATCAGATTCTCTGTACTGGAAAATACCCCAGAGGTGCCTTGGCCTCACTTTCAATAGGATGTTAATCTTGGGTCATGGCGAGAAACTGAGATTCGAGATCTGTGACTTCAAGACAGAGCTGCTGCTGGGACCCCAGGTTTGTATCCCAGCTAACTTGCACTCCTAGCCTTGGCACTCCTTTAGTGCTCCCTCCCTCCATTTTCCTTTAATGTGTGGAGTGGGCTCTGGTCCTGCATCTGAGTTAGTCATGGGTTAGAGACAAGAGATGCCTGGTCTGCTGCTGTTTGGTCAGTGAGCCAGGCTCTTCCTGTCTCTCTTTGCCTCACCTTTCTTTCTTTTTTGAGCCAGCATCCTGAAGGATGACTTGCAAGAAGGAGTCATTTTCCAGGGGTTGGTTCCAGAGGTGCCAGATTAGTGTCTGTGGGGCATAGGGAGAAGTCAACATTTTTCTTTTTCATTTAAATTTTCTTTTTAAATTTTGTTTTGAGACAGTACTTCTAGGAAGTTCTAGGAACTTGAGATGCAGACCAGGTGGACCTGGAATTCACAGTGATCTTTCTGCCTCAGCCTCAGGAGTGCTGGGGTTACAAGTATGTGACACAATGCCCAGCAACAACATTTCTCTTCTCTCTCTAGCCCGCCCTTCTAGGAAAAGAGAGCAAGCCTGGGGAATGGGTTGGAGCTCTGGAGTTTCTGCCATGTCTAGTTTTCTAAGGAGATTGTGTTTGCTACCTTGTCCCTAGTGTGAGATAGTCCATGTGGGTTCCCGTGCCTGAACTTCCTAGGCATGTTAGGAATTGAGTGATTAGAGGGGAGAACAGTATGAGTGAATGAAAAGTGAGGGGATCCTGTGCAAGAGTCTTTTCTCTGCTTCAGGCTTCAAGGTATATCAGAATGGTCTAGATGGATTAGTGGATGGGGCATGCTCTAGTTCATCCCCAAAGGTAGGAGAGAGACTAAGAACAGCTGTGGGCAGATGTGACCTTTGCAGCCCTGTCAGATCAGAGACTAATCCTAGGCCAAGATACCTCAGTGTTGAGAAACTGCTTGTGAGGCTGCCTGTCTGTTCTCAAGACCTCTGAGCACCTGCCTGGGGCCCCACCCTTCCCTCTTGCTCTCCAGTCTGTCCATTGCTCTTCTAGGCTTTCCATGGTGTGTCTACCTCATTCCATATGGGGTCATTCCCTTCCTCCACACGAGTTCTTTTCTTCATATCTGCAAAGACACCAAAGGGGCTGGCATTGATGGTAGGAAGTATTTCAATATCTGGGTTGGAGTGGGGTCAAAAGAGTTAGGGCACTCTGAGAAGCCAAGACTATCCTGGCGGTTGTGTAGCGCAGTAATGGTTCCTTTTTCTAGAAGTTTCAATATTTCAAACTTTTTATGGCCCTATGTGATAAATAACCCCATGTGTTCATTTCATTTTCTTCCCAAGTACATAGCTCCCAGAGTCTTGCAGCTATATGAGGCTGTGACTCATTCTATTCTGATCAATGGAGTATAAGAATGATATTTGCCATGCCAGGTCTGGCATCTAAAATACCCATTTGAGTCTTCATTCTCTTCCTCTCCTTGCCCCATAGCCACTCTCACGTCCTGCTGGCAAAGTGGTGCCAGGGTGACTTCACACCTACAGTAGGGCAAGCAGCTAGTCCCTCAGGCTGTTTGCAGGAGCCATACAGGAGGTTCCCTGACCAGCACTATCCATGCAGGACCTGGTATGAGCAAGAGGTAAACGATAGTGTTAAGCCACTGAGACTTAAGGTTTACTTATAACCAAGGCAGAGTCTGGAGAGAAGGCTCAGCAGTTTTGAGCACTTGCTGCTCTTCAGAGATCCCAAGGTCAGTTCCCAGCACCCACACTAGGTGGCTTACAAATCACTTGTAACTCCAGCTCTAGGGGATCTGATGCCCTGTTCTGGCCTCCATAGTCACTGCACTCATGTACATAACCCCCCTCACATAATTTAAAAATAAAATATCATAACCAAGGCAAAGCTTGGTGTTTCCTAAGACATCCTGAAATACTCATAATGGGATGGAAACTCTTTACCCTCTAAAATCTCTGTCCCCCCAGAAATATCTTTAATGGATGAACTCTGTAGCCCTGAAGAAGAAGTTTTTAAAAATATTTTATTATTAGGCCGGGCATGGTGGTGAATGCCTTTAATCCCAGCACTCAGGAGGCAGAGGCAGGCGGATCTCTGTGAGTTTGAGTCCAGCCTGGTCTCCATGGTGAATCCAGGACAGCTGGGGCTACAGGGAGACCCTGTCTCAAAAAAGATCAAAAAATACTTTTTTTATTTATTACTTTTATGTGTGTGAGTGTATTGCCTGTGTGTAGGTAAGTGCACCCATGTCCTGCAATGCAGGGGAGGTCAGAAAAGGCTGTCAGATCCCTGGAACTGGAGTTACAGACAGTTGTGAGCTACCACGTGGGTGCTGGGATTTGATCCTGGGTCTTCTGCAAAAACAGCCAGTGTTCTTAACTGCTAAGCCATCTCTCCAGCCCCCAAATTTTTAAATTCTTAAACTACTTTATACTTACCGCTAGGGAAAGAATATGTGTGTGTGTGTGTGTGCACACGCATGTGCATGCACGCACACACACACGTCACTGGATGGTGGAAAGGGGCGCAAACAGTGGATGGGATGGAATATGGAAAAAAAGACCAGGAAGGACAGGGATAAAAATGAAATACATCAAACAAAAACGGTCAATCACAGGGTTTGTGGGTGTATTATGTGGGTAAACTCAGGGTTCTGGGAATTTGGCTTTTTTTGTTTGTTTTGGTTTTTTTGAGACAGGGTCTCCCTGTAGCCCCAGATGGCCTGGATTCGCTATGGAGACCAGGCTGGCCTCGAACTCACAGAGATCCGCCTGCCTCTGCCTCCCGAGCGCTGAGAAAATTATGTTTTATCTATATTTTTTCACTTTCTTGTTTTGTTTTGTTTTTTTGAGACAGGGTCTCTCTGTAACCCCAGCTGACCTGGAACTCTCTATGTAGACCAGGCTGGCTTCGATCTCACAGAGATCCTCCTGCTTCTGTCTCTGCTGGGATTAAAGGTGTGTGCCACCACATCCAGCTTATCTATTTATTTTATTTGGCATGTGCATGCTTGTGTGTTTGTGTGCACGATGGTGCTTATGTGGAGGTCAGAGGATGATGACTCAAGGGTGTTGATTCTTTCCTTCCACAATGTGGGTCCCAGGGATCAATTCAGGTTTGGCAGCAGGTGCCTGCTGAGTCATCTTGTTTGTCCTGTAAGAGGTACTTCTAAAAGGAGAAAGATGCTGGGGAATATGATTTGAACTTATCCAATGGAAGAGGTGCAGCTCTCTTGCCTGGCTAATTCTGGGACTGGTCGCAGAGAAAATACATGTGAACTCCTATGATACTTTGATAAACCTACACACTGGGGCCCTAAGCCTGCATTACCCTGTGAGTCCAGCATCCCAAATCTTTCATGTTCAACAAGCATAGTTGCTTTTTGTTTTTGTTTTTTTTTTGTTTTGTTTTTCAGACAGAGTCTCCCTGTAGCCCCAAGTCAGCCTAGAACTCGCTATGTAGACCCACTTGAACTCAGTTATCTGCCTCTGCCTCCCAAGTGCTGGGATTAAAGGCATACACCACCACGGCTGACCCAAGCATAGCTTTTTAAAGCAGAAAAAAAATTCAAAAGCTGAGAGTGGTGATTCACACTTGGAACCCCAGCACTCAAGAGGTTGAGGCAAGAGGATTGTTGTATGTTTGAGACCAACCTGGGTTACACAGTGAGTACCACGCTGTCCTGGGCTACAAAGTGAGAACTTGTTTCAGAAAAACAAGGCAAAAAAAAAAAAAAAGTCAAAGACATTTCATTCTCTCTTTTTAAAAGATTTTTAAAATTATCTGTATGTGTCTTTGTATATGCACATGTGTGAATGTGCCTGAGGGGCCAGGAGAGGGCATCATATCTCCTGGAACTAGAGTTACCGGCAGTTGTAAGCTGCCCAGTATGGGTGCCAGGAATTGAACTTGCATTCTCTGGAAGACAGCAAGTGCTTTCAACTGCTTGAGCCATCTCTCTAGCCCCCAAAAGTATCTCATTCTTTATTTAGATCTCTTAGAGGAACTGATCTTTAGCATAGAATATATGTTAAACCTATATACATCCTTCCCTATACTTATCTCTAGATGGCTTAGAAGAGATCACAAAACATGAATTCTATGTAAATAATTGTTATGCTGTATTGCTTAGGAAAATAATGAAAAGGAAAACATGTGGGGCCAGTGAGATGGTAGAGGTGCTTGTCACCACACATGACTACAACTACCTGAGTCAGAAATGGTAGGGAGTGGGAGGAGGAGAGAACTGACTTCTACAAGTTGTCCCCTGACCTTCACTTGGACATCTTGGCACATACATACCCACATATATACACAGACAAATACACACACACACACACACATACACACACACACACGTAAATGAAAAAAGAAAAACATGCATGTCTATGCTCAGTACAGTTTTTTCATATAT